TATTATGAAATGAACTAAGTCCGACAATAAACAGAGCATTTACTTAAATATTTGTATCTATAAAAATAACGTATAAACAGAAAATATACTAAAATACATACATACATATATATATATATATATATATATATATATAACTTTATATATATATATATATATATATATATATATATATATATATATATATATATATATATATATATATATATATATATATATATATATATATATATATATATATACTTTATATATATATATATACTTTATATATATATATATATATATATATATATATATATATATATATATACTTTATATATATATATATATATATATACGCATATGTGTGTGTGTGTGTGTGTGAGTGTGGAATTTCTTTTGGTTAGCTTTTCTTTGTACACATTTTTTCCCAATGTTAAGCAAAGTAACCTGCTTTACATTATTATAATTCTTAATCGCAGTCATTCTCGTCTGCCCCGATCGGAAATATCTTTTGGAAATACCTCGATGTACAGACCTCATATGCATTCAAAAATGAACCATAAGATAATTTGAACACTACAGCCGATGGACACACTGTATTTGCAGCAAAAGCCTTTGTTACTCAACAAAGTTTATCAAGTTACGCATTTACCCAATTATAACGAAGAAAAATTGTTATCGACCATTTTCAAAAGTTTAAAGTCGTGTCTGTTACAATTACTTTAGACTCTCGAATTAGCAGACTAACAGCGTAATGAAAGTCCTTTCAATCCGAATGTCATCTAGGAGTCCATTTATTTCAGTTAAAAAACAATTCTAATGTTAAAATTAACTTTAATGTGTTATACCCAACTGTATCTTCATTTTGTAAGCCTCTATCTTGAGTAGCTCTTGGATCATGTATCGGGTGAACAGAAAGAAAATAACCTTATGTCGTTTGTTACTGCCATATATGCTAGCAGCCGGCTAACATTCGTTAACTTGATTTTCATCTTTTTAAAATCTACTTTTCCGACTAATTGGTAACAAATTCTAACACATTTATAAGATCTTCTTTATTTACTGATTTTATTTTTGTGCCAAATTCGATATTAAAAATGTTCTCTTCAATTTTACAATTCATTTTCTCAGCTAGTCTTATTTATTCGAATGTAGGCCACACAACTGACAAGTTAGTGATATGAAGATCAAAATGCAGTGAGCATTTATTTTTTCTCTATTTTTATATGCATTAAATGATTAATTATTTCTTTCTGGTAAAGAAACACTTGGAAATATTTATTGAATTTCTACTTTATCTTCTCAACGTAAACACATGTAAAAATAAATAAATAAACAAACAATGATAATTTGGACATGTTGCATTTATATTTTTATTAAGTCAACATACAATTTTAAATCCACTTTGTGATCTTTTTTAAGATTCCAATGTATCTGTCACGTTTTCCATGTTTGTTTATATATATATATTTATATGAATAAAGACAAAAGAAAAACTTAGCTGACGTGTTTAAGTAAAATCTTAGCTTTTCAGAATATTTAAATTTACGGACGCTCAGAAATATACGTCAGGCTAGCCGAGGTAAATTATAGAGGATGTTAAGTGATGTCATTTAATGTCTAATAAACGAAAGTGAGTAATTGTTGTTATTCTTGTTGATTTTTTTTTTTATAATCTAATTATTATTTATATTATCTTAGTTTGAGATTAATCTATATATTATATATTTTAAATAATAGAAAGG